AGGAGATACTGAAAAGGGAAAACATGAACATTGAAAGGAAGAAGCAAATATTCTATACTGCAATGGAATGTGGATTGCCTAGGCAGCTTATCTGCCAAAACTGTATGTAAGTATATAAAATTTGGACATTTCAATATATGTAACTAGACCTAAAAACAGTAAAAAAACAATGATAATCATTGAATGAGGGGTGGAAATGAGTAAGGAAAATAATAACACAAGACTATTGATGCTTTCTGAAGCTGGGTAACAGAAACTCATTATCCTATTCTATTTACTTTGAGTATGTTCTAAAGTCCCTCTCAAAAAAATAAAAAATAAAAAAGAAAGTAAGTATAGGTAGTGATTTTAACTAGCATATGAAGAATGAAGTAGCAAAAGAGAGATTTTGACCAAAAGTATTTTCACCCTATGTTCCATCCTTTAATGGTAACAAATACTGAAAGCTAAAAACAAACAAACAAAAAAACCTTGGTTTTGATTAATCTTAATTTCTTGACTGTCACTAACTGTGAGTATAAGAACCCTTCAAGTTAACCAGAGTGTATTAACTCTTTATTATTCACTAATTTTTTAAAAGAATTATTTTATTTAAGTTTATGTATTTATTTATTTATTTTAATTTGACCAGAGAGGGACAGAACGAGAGAGAGTGAGAAAGCAAGGCACCAGGTCCAGGACTTGAACCACGGTTGGCCATGTGGGGGTCCAGCACCCTTAACCACCATGCCATCTGCCGGCTTCATGCTCACTAATAATTTTAGTGAATTTTATTTTTCAGAATCCAAGAAAGAGTGCATGAAAGGCTGTTGAGTCAAATTTTTTAATTAAAGCATTAAAAAGTATGACTACTCAAGATCTGGTTGTTACCTACTTTCAATCCTTCCTTGCAAGAGGGTACATGTACTCACCAAAGAGAGAGAGAGAGAGAGAGGCAGAGGAGAAAGCACTCTCCCATGGGGAATGGCCACACCTCAACCCCTTCTCCATCTCTCCCTCCTGTCAGGATTTTGGGGATGCAAGGACATGTGCCTGACATGTTTCTCAAGCTACTGGGTCTGGGACTGTAACCAGGCAGTTAGTCAGGTGGGATCCAGCTGCCTTCACTACTAGGCCATAGGACCAGCTCCCCGCTTCTTAGTTTCTTACTGCACCAGGCTCACACGCTCAAGCCTAAGCATGCTGTTCATGACCTGGTGCTCCTGTCATTTCACTAACC